TCGCTGGATAAAAAGCACAGCATCGATTGTTTGTTTATAATATTTATTTAGTGTTCATTGAGGTTTACGTTTCCTATCCTGTGTTCAGGTGCGCGTCATTTTAAGTGCATCTGTAAATAAATAAAACAAATAAATAAATAGGTGTCCTCTCCATTCCTCCCATTCTTCGTCAATTCCTCCACGCCTCGATTTTGGCCTTCCTTCTTCTATTCGGCACACAGCTGCTCACTTGGAATTAATTCAGCCAACTGGTCAACAGGATGCAGGTTAAGGGATTAACCAGCTTCCTGTTGACGGGCTGGCTAAACGGGGGAATACCCATTATCATCGAGGTCCCCCCCAAATCCCAACATTGCCAAGTTAATCCTTTCCTACTCTTTTATTTCTCAACTTCTTCTCTGTCGCCCTTCCATTTTCTTTCTTCTTCTATTCACCTAGGAAGGATAGCATCCTGATAGATACACCTTTCCTCAATGAACTGGTCGATCTATGGTGGTAACTAGCGGTAGCACTTCGGCCTATACATACCTTGAATAGCATGATGTCCGCTGTTCAAGGATTATCTCGCTATCCTTGCAGGACGCATCTATGCCATTCTTCTCGATTTCTTGCCATTTGTTTTTTTTTTATTGCCCATCTCTCGTCCAAAATAACTCCTCGTAAGTAAGGCGTCACGTCCACCTGGCTGGAGGTCTCCCTGCGGCTCTCAACTCAGGATGGCAACATTAGTGTCCTGTATATAGCCGCTCCACTGAAATCTGTTCATGGCTTCTTCTCCGCCTCGAAACCCTTCTTCTGAGTGCTATCCAGCTGTTTCAGCAGAGCACGGCTGACTTCCCCTTTTCTTCGGTCTTCTTCTTTTCTCCCTAATTGATCCGACGAGTCGCAAGCTTCCGTGGTCTTATTAAACAGCACCACTCCTGGTCGGTCAAGGCATCTTTGCCTGTAGCTCTGACTGATTTGGGCTCCGCGGTGGTGCGGTTTCAAATCCACTACCCACCCTTATCGGCATGATCCTGGCCCACCACAGCTCAAGTCCCGGTCTAGCTGAAGGCGCTGTTCCCACACTTTCAGCTAAACCGGGACAGTCTGCATGACCTACTCTGACACTCCTCGTTACTGACCCTGTCCAGTCGCGTCCAGCCGCAGGCCCACCTCAGCATTCTCATCTCAGCGGAGTGAAGCTGCCTTTCGTGATTCTTGTCAGAGGCCAGCACTCGCTGGGTCGCCATAATATCGCCAGGCCTTACCACTGTCCGGTACACCTCCCATTCAGGCGTTTGAGAGCAGTTTTATCGCAGAGAATTTCAGAAGGCCCCCTCAATTTCACAAATGCAGTGTGAAGAGGCATCCAGGCTACCGTCAGTAGTTATGTCGCTTCTCAAGGCTATCCGAAAACCTCCCCTACTCCTCCGATTGGTTTCGCCATGGCCGTTCACCGACGGCTCATATGCTATTTCCAGACACTCATGGTACTTGATCTTTTACACTATCTAGCCAAAGCCGTCCTTCTGCAGCACTTCTTGCCAACCTTCTGCCCTTCCTGGTAGTTCTCTCTGCTGATACGCTATCAGGCTATGTCGTCTGCGTAGAGAATGGCAAATTGATCCTTGCATGAGCCCCTTCACTAGGAGATCTAGTGTCAGGAGAAAAGAGTGTTAGGAGGAAAGGAAGGGGCTCAGAGCTGACCCTTGATGCACCCCAACCGTGATGTTTACCTCTTTTGTTAGGCCATGTGGGGTGCGTATGGCTGCTTTAGCTCACGTACATGTCCTTCACCAAGGTGATTAGGTGTTCGGTACGTTTCGTTCTCTAATCGTAAGCCCGTCAAACCTCCCTCTGAGCCTTACTGGTCGTGTAGACGGTCGAACGCCTTCTCCAGATTGAGGAAGGCCAGGTAGCAACTCGTGGCTTTTCTCGGTACTTCTCCATTACTAACCTAATGATGAAGGTATTTAGTATCCTTTCATCCCTATTCCCCAAGAACTTTCCATGCTTCTATTGGTACCCCACCTGGACTTACCGCGAACGCCGTACTCGGTCCAGAATACGGTGGGATCAACCGTCGCCTCTACTCGTGCATTGTCTTTGTGGGGGAAAATACTCGTTCAGAAGCCTCCTAAAGACAGCCGAAGTCAAGATGAGCTGGAAGTACCCTTCCACCTCCTCTTGACTTCGGCTGGCTTCCTCAGGATGACACCATTGCTGCTTTTACACTCTTCACCACCCTGATGTCTTGAGTAGCCCGATGCCGGGCCTTAGCCAGCCTGAAGACGAACTTCTCTGCGTTTCGGCTTTCCAACTTCTCGTACACTTCTGTTCTTCGCCTCGGTAACAGTAACCCTCACTTTTGCAGACAGCGAGGTTCTCAGGGCTCCGGGTCTTCTGCCAGCGCTTGTATGCCTCCTTCTTCCGCTTCTACAATTCGTTACACTTCCTTGTTACAGAACCTTTCTTTCGGTCTGTGGCCTTAATTTGGCTGGCCAACTCCTTGTTCTTATTCAAGTGAGCGACTAATAGGGACTTCTTTCCGAACGTGGTCTTTCATTCGAGCAATTGGCTCCTTTTCGCGCTGCCTCGGTTTCGCGTTCCTTCCCGCCATGGATCCAAGTTGCGCGGCTGTTTTTTTGCAAATTAGGTTAAGTACTTGCGGTGCTTCACTACCCCGTTCATGTCACCAGTTGTCTCCTCCACATGCTGCTCCTGTGCGTCACACAAAAACACTTCCGCGGCGACGAGTCGCAGTAACATGAAGTCGCCGAGTACACTGCTACTCACTTGCTAGCACAAAATCTCGTTCTAGATAGCTGACACTTAAACGCGCACGAAACGCGTCGCAGAATAGCCTGCTTTGGCAACTGTGACAGCCGACTTGAAAATTACGATTTATTATACAGACATCTTTGGTTATTCACAACAGGCGTGTATGAAGTGATTAAGATGTGAGATCTATATGGAACCCGGGCGAAAAAATGGAGAGATCAGTTCAGTAGAATTTGACCGGTCAAACAAGTTAAATACCTAGAGTAATAAAAGGCCCAAAGTGATGTGTAAGCCAAGACTTGAGTGTCTGGTTAAATTGAAAGATCCAGACTTCGATCCCAGTGCTGCCTCACCATCATGGAATTGTGTTACACTCCGTCACAGCACCCTTCAGTAGGTTGCAGTTTTATTTTTATGCTTTGTTCCGACATCTGGAAAGGAAACTGAGAAGATGAGATTAGGAAAAAACAGTCAACCAAGTTCACTCTTGTTCATAATTTATGGCGATCTTCAGGTACTGAGAAAATCGTTCCAGGTCTGGACTGTCTGGGATTTTGCTTCCTAAAAATCTTTCTTGATACGCTCAATGGGATATTAGGCAAAATCTTCTGAAAAACTCACTCTTTTTGGTTTTCTTCACATCAACAATGATCAAACCATCATTAGTCTGTTTCGTTTACAGCCAGATGTGAATCCATCGGTAGCCTTAAGAATGACAGTTGACACTAATTCAACGTTACGCAACAATTTATTTATTTATTATTTATTAACAATCTTAAGTGCATTTTTTCTCACACATAATTAGTGTCTTGGAGACAGGCGGTATGTACATTGGATGTTGAAAAAGGGAAATATGTTCTACTATAAAAGGAGACTGCGCCCTGGGGGACCAAAAGGTGGCGATTTCACGGGGAAGAGATCGCCGCAGCAAGTCTTCCAAGGATTTTGAGTGTCCCTCTGCGCGCTGATTCCTCTATCCGCCCCGATGGGGCTACCTCATCTGCTAGTTCCCCCCCCCCACCCCCCCCCCCCTCAGATTTCTAGCCGTCCCAAGCCAAATAGCAGGAAGTAGAGCGTTACATGATGTTTTGAGCACCGGTGAGACTCGCTTCAACACTGAAATTCAGCGAAAACAAGGGTCCCTCTTCACGGCGTCTTATAGGCCATTTGTGGAGTTCTTCGGTTTATAACTGCTTAGCAGCTCTGCTTTTATTCCTTACGAGCGCCCAACACCATCGCTTTCAAGGTTTAAAAACCCGTTTGCAAGGCTCAACAACAATTTTTTTTCGCTCTTTTTTCAAACTCTCTGCTAGGACGAAATCCGATAAGGACTCAATTGAAAGCAATGTAAAAGAACTTACAATTCCCTGTTTTGGTTCTTTTCCACTGCTTCGTATTCCTTGCAAGGTTTCTCAGTGGTAGATAACTCAGCAGTACGCTTCTCCGAGTCGAAAAAAGTGCTAGAAAAGTAAAAAAAATATTACATGCTGTAAAGAAAGGCATATCGTCAATTCAGAACATAAAAAGTAGTACTGCACTATTACAACTCCAACGGGGTAAAACAAAATTGGTTCTACTGAAACTCCTATGATGGTGGCTAATGGACCTGATGGATTGATATGAATTACTAAATCTTTCTTGGCCTCCGTAAGTTGTATAACCGGAAAGCCTTCTATCTTATAAAAATGGGTGAAACTCCAGTTCGGGGGGGCACTCCATTGCTATCTTATCCGTAGTACTAGAGAGCAGTTCTTTGGGCTATCGAACACTACGGATAAGATAAAGTGAACGACTCATTTCGAGCGTACTTTTGATAAGGACCGGTGGATGTCCTACATTCCACACTACCTGCCCACATCCCATCCACTTTTCTGCACAGGTGATCCACCCTGGAGCTCCTGCACCCTTAGCCCTTTGCGGAGGTGTCCTTTCTCCTGGTCCAGGACCGTTCCCTTGGGTCATGGCAGGCGGAAATGTGAAAACGTTTCAGGGTTTCTCACCCATTACACCAATATTTATCAGAAGTCTACTTTAAATGAGTCGATTACGTGTCGTGAGCCCTCTAATCCTTATCTTGAGTATTGGAGAAAAAATGGAGTGGCCCCCCGAACTGGAGTTTCACCATCGGAAGCTACAAGTGAACATTTAATTCGGTACCCTTTTCATGTTATTAAAAAATGCTATTAGACTTGGTAAAATATTGGCGCGCCAAACCGGAGCCAAACGTTTTTCTGCCCTGCTGAGGTTGTAATAGTGCAACACGGAGGCTAAATATCCACGAAAGAAAATAATAACGAAAGAAGCCTTTTCTCCGCAAAAATGCCACCATAACTGAAAAGGAGCAATTTCTCATACTTACGCGCGAAGTTCGCTCAGCTTGTGATCGAAAGAGTCTTCAATCGTGTTGCGATATGTAGCGAAGTGCCGCTTGAAATATAATCAATCGATCAGATTACGGAACCGGTTCCATAAAATGTGATTTCAGTAAAAAAATAAATATTTCAGGTGACTAGAGAACAAAAATGAGGTTACTATTAAACGTAATATATCAATATTATAAGAAACAGGCTCACACTGATACATTGTCTCGAAATTGAGACCATTACATTTGCCCTTTCGCAAATCGCGTTTCTTTTCCACAATGCGCTTTTCTGAGACATCACACAGCAACTTTTTGATACCCTCTCTCGCTAACTCGACTCCAGCATCTGGCTTGCCGGTGACCAACTCCTGAAATGAGAGCTTACAAAAAACTATAAAGAAACCTCAAGGCTAAGGAGTCAATGAGTGATTGTTAAGAAAATAAACGCGTTCCTCACATTCTTCATCCTGTTTGACATCAGTTCTTGCTCATTTTGTAGGGCTAAAAGTACCGAATTGAACTATTTCAAAACTATTCATGTCTTAGCTAACCGAGAGAGGAAACATACCCTGGAGTTGATCTTCAAGATCAAGTTTTTCCGAGTGCAACCCATCAATTTGTTGTTGTAAACGACATCGCTTGAAGAGATTAACTAGTATCAACATGGCCAATAGACATCAACGAGGAATTTATATACTTACCTCATCATTGAAAGAAGAAATAGTGACCCCAAGCTGTTCTGCTTTCTTTCTGTATTTCTCCAATTTTTCGCGAAGAGTGTTGTTTTCCGATTCCAGATGTTCATTGCGTGACTTCAGTAAGGAGTCTCTTTACAAAAACGTTTTCTATCATTTATGAAGTAAAGTGTTTAATGTCTGAATACTTACGCTCTTAGGAACTCCTGTTTTTCCTTCGCCCACTGTGCAGCTTGTTGCTTTTGTAATTCACAGATACTCTTGATCGCAGTCTCCTTTTCACAAATAATCTGAGACAATCTATTATTTTCCATTTCTAATCGCAGTGACTCGTACTCTTCAGCTAGTTCCCCATCTTCCACTACATCCTGTAAAAGGAAAGGTAATGAGCAAAAATACGAATTTTGCAGGAGCCTAGCAAATACGCTCTTAATAAGACAATGCAATATTCACCCCATTATCTAATGCATCGAACTCCTCAGGGGCCTTCAAACAGAACTTGTTCCAAAGCTCCACGAATTTTGGCTGAACTGACTGGCAGAAGGTGTGAATATAGTCCTACGACGTTCCTTCTTTCGCTGGGCAGGGAGTTTTGCTCTTGACTTCACAATTTCGAGCCTGAAGGGATCAAATTTTCTACTGAGCTTTAAGAGTGCCCCTGATATGGAGTACCCCGCCTTTTCAGCAACAGGGTAAGAAATGTTTCAGCAAAGTGCAGCCGCACGAAACAATGAAACACACCGTAGTTAGATTGAGCCGACGTAATGATAATTCAGAAATAGATGTTTCGCTGCATCCTTGTAGAAAACCGTTATATTTCTCGACAGATGCTTTCCTTGAAGCTTCAGCATTCTCAAGTCGTGAGCGCATCTCCTCTAGCTCATTGTAAGCCTGAAATATTAGGATTTAATTGCCCGTGCTTCAGAGAGAAAACCTATTACGTCAATGTATTCTTTACCGGCCAACGAAGAAACAATATTTACCTACGTTAACTAGGTTGGCCTCAAGCTGAGCTCTTGAAAGATCTTCGAACGTCCTAATTGACTCGATCCTTCTCGAAAGCTGCGCGGTAATGGCCCGAATCGCTTCGTCACTTGACTACAATAGTAGAGTACTTATGAACGAATACAGGGCTTTTCTTATATCAGTACCTTGACATCTCCAACTACGGATGGTCCACTCGTCAACTGAGCCGATAACAAATTACATCGAAGCCGAGCTTCGACAAGGTCCTTTTCACGAGAAATCGCGGCTTCTTTCCAAGTCTTAAGTTCATTCTCAACCAATGCCAGCTTCGCGGTCATTTCTGAAACACTTTTTGATTGATTACGCTGCTTTTAGCTTTTGGCTGGAATGTTTCCAAGGAAGGAAATCAAGAAAGCCAGAAAAGACTAGGGATGAAACATTTCCTCTCCCAAGATGAAGTGTTCTTAAAATGCCACTTCAAACGTTAAGTTTCACAGAGTGGAAGTTCAATAATAGTACCCGATCTACATGAATAATTCAATTGAAGATAAGGAGGAGAAAATATGCGTCGATCGGTCACTAGAGTATGTGATTCCTAGTTAAGCTGACATCCAAAACCACAGCGGCGTGGATTAGCACTAATTGTGAGCCCAACCGATGAATTTTCTGGGAAAACTCTTGTGTGAATGAGGGACACCTAATTCAACGCACCTGACCGGATATTTGCTTCGAGACCGTTCAATTCTTCGCGGAGGCGAGTGATCTCTTCTTTGTACGCCATTACAGTATCTCCAGACAGATCTTCATTCGCATGAACACGATTTTCAATTTTTCGACAAGCAGCAGCAAATTGTAGTGTAGACAATGTCTCAGAATAGTACCTAGAACCGCCCTTTATACA